CACCGTCGCCCTCACACTCCTAATCCTCACCCTACGCCTAGATCCCGAGCATCGCAAGAAAATCGTTTAATATTCACCTGAGTCCGCAGCTGAGCCCGTCACCGACGATGAAGTAGAGGAGCAGGACGCTGTGCCGCAGTGATCTCAGTACAACAGCACTATCAGCACGATCTTTAGTCGGTGAGCGACGCGTGGGGCCGTGCTCGATGAGCCCCAGCAGCAGAATCAGAAGAAGAAGATCTTGATGTAGTCTCCTTGCAGCCCCTGGAAGCTCTGGGAGGACTTCTATATAGGCGGATGAGGAGGAGGAGAGAGAGAGAGAGAGAGAGAGAGAGGAGGAGGAGGAGGAGGAGGAGGAGGAGGAGGTTGTAGAGAGATATATGAGACTTGTTACCTGTCGAATGATATCATCATAGCTCCAATGATAGCCAACCTTTGTCACAAACACATCCAGGTGCGGCAGAATTTCTCCAGTGTTCTTGAAGACAAATTTCTGCCGATGAGAGTGAGGAGAGGAGAAACAATTGAGAAGAAAATGATACGAAGTTAACAGAGGCGAGAAGGTTCAAGTTGGAGTTGTAGGTGATCAGATCTGCCTGAAACCAAGACGTCGCCTCGCTCAACCACAAGTCCATCTGTAAGCTGAGACAAGCAGCGTCATGTAAGGTTGAAGAGGAGCTGAGGGATAGAAGTGGAGGAGAAGGCAATGAAGGGAGAAGAGAGGGAGGGAAGGAGGGAGGGAAAGAGGAGGGAAGGGGAGGGAAGGGGAGGGAAGGGGAGGAGAGAGGGAAGGGGAGGACGGAGTGAGGTCGTTTCATCTCACTCTTGTAGCTGTTTGAGAGCCTGACTCTGGACGAGAGGGAGCTCTTGAAAGAAGCCCTCATAGTAACTACCATCGTAGTATCGCTGATGTATCAACCCATGTCAAGACAAGACCCTCTCTCCTCTCCTCCCTCACTCTTCTCTCATACTCGTAGGCGGTTCGTGATGTTGCTCCCACAAACCTGAACTTGCGATCACTTGTGATGTTTCCTGCCTCCAACTCTCACCTCGCTTGACTGATGGCACCCTGAAGACCGTCGGAGCTTGTGTACCCGAAGCATGACCTTGCAGCTGCGATGAGAAGAAGGAAAGCGGAGGAGGAGGAGGAGAACGAGGAGGAGGAGATGGGTAAGGAGATGCTGGAGGAAGACGAGGAGAGGGACGACGAGGAGGAGGAGGAGGGAGGAGGAGGAGGAGACATCATACCCATCGAATAGAAGGTAGTCATTACTACTGAGGCACTTGTCTCTTGTAGCATTCAGAGCTCTTCTCTGTACCTTCACCGGGCTCAAACTTTCATTCTCCTTCCTCCATGTGAACATACCAGCCGAATGCCCTTGGTTACTCTATTCGTCTGCAGGCGAATCTCAGCTCTCCTCCTCCTCCCC